TGGCTAAATAGTATTCCATTCTGTATATATACCACATTTTCTCTATCCACTCATTCATGGATGAATCAAAATTTTTGAAAACATTCAGGATTCTCTATTTGCAGGAAATTATCCTAGTTATTTTGTAACTTCGAGCCTTTTCTCAGGCCATTTCACTCTAATCTGGAATATTCTTGGTTCTCTTTTCTGTTTGTCCAAATCCAAATTGTTCAAGGCTCAGTAGACCAGCCTAGCCCATTAGCGAAACTCCCTTTCCTGAATGCCTGTAAACCTTACTATGTTTATAACTTGTTTATTCTATATCATTTACTAACATGCCTTTATTGTTCTCATGGTAAACATGGTTGGGATCAGGGTGGTTAAATAACTTCTCAGGCATTTTCATCTTATCTTCACGGCTCTGATTGTTTGTGTTTCCCTAATATGTTGAAATACTAACCCCCAAGGTGATGGTATCAGGAGGTGGGGCGTTTAAGAGATGATTCAGTCATGAGGGTGAAGCCCTTATGAATGGGATTAGTATCCTTGTAAAAAAAAAAGGCCCCAAAGAGACCCTAGCCCCTTTGGCTATGTGAGGACACAGCAAAAAGTTGGCAGTCTGCAACCTGGAAGAAGGCCTTCGCCAGTACCTGACCATGCTAGACTCTGATCTCAGACTTACAGGTTCCAGAACTGCGAGAAATAAAAGTTGTTCACAAGCCACCCAGTTTTTGGTACTTTTGTTATAGCAGCTTAAACAGACTAACACATCTAGCTTGCTGATCTCAAAGAACATAAGAAGAAACTTAGATCAAGCATTCATTTGGAATTAGTTCCAATCAAAAATGATTTGAAATAAACCTTCTAACATAAAAGTTGGAGCAGTGATTCCCAGCTCACAGGCCTTGAACCCTGGTTAGGGAGGTAGGCAATGGAGGGCTTTGCAACACACACACACACACACACACACACACACACACACACACACATGCACATACACACGTTATTTTTAGCTATGGGTAGGGGCTCTAGATAAAAATCATTTAATAGCCTCTCTCACTTTATTGTAGTCATTTGCTACTATCAAACTTATTTTAACAAAGGGATCTACAAAATCTTTCAAATTATAAAGGGGTTCCCAGGCTTATAAACTGGCAAGCACTCACCTAGAGGTGTTTTAGGACAATATGATTCATTTCATTAGGCCACACACCCTCACCTTTAGCTGTTCTTCCAACTAGCTTACATGGAGTTGAATAGTTTCTTTCTTTCAGAAGAAACTGCTAAGCAATCTGCCATGGTACATTGTACTCCAAAAGAGTCAGTTCCAAGTATCAATAATCAGACAAATCTGGGCACAGTCGAACCACCGTACCTGTTCTGGAGGAGGTTGGAATTGTTGTTCCCAACATTTATAGTGTGGGAGGTAAGTAGGTTTAGAGTTTCAAAAAGGTTATGTTTACAATAGGTCAAGCCAAGGAGATCCTTTTTCCAGGACCACAGAACCATTCCTAGGCCTCTTTGAAAAAGGCTGTATCACCATAAAATCCTTGTCTTTGAAGGGATCTTGGTCCAAGCTAAAGAACTTGGTGAGAGGAGTAGTTGTGGAAGCATTTCCTTCTTTTTCTTACCTCGCACAGGGTAGAAGTACATTCAACTTGAGAGCATCTACTTATACACATGCAAGATCTACATGCTAGGCACTAATGAATGCTTTGCAGAAGAGACAGTCAGAACTCTGAAACTGGGCAAATTTTCAGGGCACGAGAATCAGCTCTCTTTGTGTGCCATTTTTCTCTTATTCATAATCCTCCTATTATGCTCTCACCAAGGAGAACTACTACTTAGATCCTCTAAAACAGGAGGCAGTGCCAAAATCATTTACATTTGTTTTGGTGTTTTTAGCTTTTATTATCACCTTTTCTTCTTTTATAATAGATAAATTAAAGATTTTTCTAAGGGATAATGCAAGTTAATGGCCTGAACTTTTTTTTTAAATGCCAATAGATTTGTCCATTCACTCAACTTATGCTTTCAATTATTTATTTACTTAACTCATTAACCCATTTTATAAAACAATCTCTCAACTTCTTTGTTCATTTTTTTTTTTTTTTTTTTTGAGACAGAGTCTCACTGTGTTGCCCGGGCTAGAGTGCCGTGGCGTCATCTTAGCTCACAGCAACCTCAAACTCTTGGGTTCAAGCGATCCTCCTGCCTCAGCCTCCCGAGTAGCTGGGACTACAGGTATGCGCCACCATGCCCGGCTAGTTTTTTCTATATATTTTTAGTTGTCCAATTAATTTCTTTCTATTTTTAGTAGAGACGGGGTCTCGCTCTTGCTCAGACTGGTTTCGAACTCCTGAGCTCAAACAATCCGCCCGCCTCGGCCTCCCAGAGAGCTAGGATTACAGGCGTGAGCCCCCACGCCCGGCCTTCTTTGTTCATTTAACACATTCATTCCTACTTTCATTCGATATTTATTGAGTGCCTACCATGTGCTTCAATATTGTATTAAGTCTTGGGAATAAAATGATGAATTGAACCAAATGTGACCCTTGACATCATGGAGAAGTTAAAGTGCAGTGGGAGAAAAAGACAGAAAGGTCACGTAAATAAACGTAAAAAGTAACTGTGGAAGAAAGGTAAAAGAGAGGTAAAAGACAGCGTAAAAATCTATAATAGGAGTTGAGGAGTTGACCCAGGCACAGGGCCGGGCATGACTTTCTGGGGAAGCAAGCATGGAGCTGGGGAATGGAGAATGATTAGAGTTACAGAAATAAAGAGGGGAAGGAAAAACATTCTAGGCAGAAGCAACACTATGTACCAGTGGCCTATGGAGGAAGGAGGATGGTGAATATGCAGAATCAAAGGTGAGCATTGCTAAGAGGAGGGAGGAGGTGGCATATGGTGAAAGACGTGGCTGGAGGAAAGACCGTTAAGGCATAGTCTGGAAAGTACAGACGTGGAAGAACATGGTTCACTCTGTCAGCTGTTCAAATCAGCCTTTCCACACCAGCTTAGCTCTTACTGCCTCCAAGCTGAAGTTTGCACCAAATCAGAACAGTAGCAGCAAATCCCCAAGCATTTCAGAAACTTTGCTCAATTTAGAAGTGTGGTCAATAAAAGAATAAAAATGAGTGCCAAGGGAACTGTGCTACCCATTGTAAACAGCGGAAGAGGCTGATTTAGAAAGTGGTCTCTTCTTACTGCTGTAGACTGCATTACTTGTTTCTCCGGTGATATCTTTGGTCCAAAGATTTCTTTACTCTTTTTCTTGGATTGGATATTTATGCTTGGCAAAGCACATGTTAGTTTAGTGATTTAAAGAGCGTTTATTTTGTTTTTTTCTTTCCAGTGTAAAGACTCACCTATGACACTAAGCTCGGCACTGGAAAAGATAACTCCATGCTTATTCTCTGCCACACACTGATACATGCCAGCATCTGAGAGGTTCACTATTGTTATGTTGAGCGTTCCTTGTTCGATTTGAATTCTATCCTGTGAAAGAAAAGAGGAACACAAAAACAATGACCTTCTACAACCGAGACCTGAAGGCAATTTTGCTATGTCTTATATCACAGGGGCTTAATGGGAAGAAAATAGCCATCATATAAGCAATTTACATAACATGATCTATTTATCTGTCAGTTAAATTTGTGGCAGGTCAGTTGCTAAATGGAACAACCAGTACATCCGTTGGTAAATGGAATTTAAATTGTAGGATTCTCTTGAGTTCTCATTGATTTAACAGTGAAGCCATTCAGATTAATATCCCCTCTAAATAGAAGAATTTGAAATTTAAAATGCTTTTTTACTCTAAAGCTGTGTACTAACTGAGGGGAGTGGGTTTGGAAATACAATGAAATTTATTGTTTGGAGTATTTAAAACACTCAAATTATGAGCAGGCATCACTTTGAAGGTTAATAGGATTGTTATCTTCTTGGATGAAACAGAGGCAAATATTTAATATTTGTTGAGGTTTACTAAAAAACGCAAAAATGTATTAATAATGAAATGTTCCCTTACTTTATTGTCATCAGTTGTGTCATTTAAGCCTAGAACCATTTGCTGGTAGCCAATCTGAAGGCAGCAAAGTTAGTGTATGGCATAAGAAATCTTTCTCATTTGTCACTCTGAGGATATACAAGTTGCGTATCAATTTTCATAAGTATCATAGAGAATCTCCTCCTCTCCTGGAGACTTACTATTTAAAAAAAGAACCTATACAAAGAAGTGCTGCTTTTCTGTTTACCACAGGCTTGCAGATTAGCTGAGTGGACCCTCTATTAGGCTTTGATCAAATCGAGGCATCCGTATTTCCTCATGTTACACAAAGGGAAGAAAAATGCCAGTTACCTGCGAACCTACACTCTGGCAATTTGTTTGAGTCTGGCTTTTATACCCGAGAGAATCACGGACTCACAGGAGCCTTCCAGTGAATGGAGAAGGTGTACGAGACACAAAATGTGTTGGGAGAAATGGTCCCTTTCTCTTCGTGTTGTGAATATTCATGTCTGGGCCATTGCTCAGAGCAGGCATTCCTCCTTGGGTGGCCTATTGGAGGAGGAAATCTGAACATGAAAAAGACGGCTCTCAACTTGGGGCCTGGGGAAAATGTCTAATTTCAATTAATACTTGAAGTTCAGTAGGAAAATACAATAAGTAAAATTAAATCGGACACAATTGTTCCTCACTCTAAGGGCCTCCAACTCTGCCCGTGCGTCATCCAGATGTCTTTGTCAGAATCTTACTGCATTTAGATTGGCATCCCTGTATTGTATCAATACCCCTTCTCTTGTAGCGGATCCTGGGATGTACCTTCCTTTGTATCTTAGAAGAATTACATGTTCCAGACCTTCTGGGTAACTTTCCCATTGTAAAGCCCCAGATGTTAATATGTGAAGACAAAAGATCTAGTACGGAAACTCAACTGAACAAGGCTGGAGAACTGGATTTATGTGCACTTTCTGTTTATCAACTGTATTCACTTTCACTTTTTCCACATTTAACGGCATTTAGTTGCGTGTTATTTTGGAAACAACTCATCATTTTTCTGTTTCTATGGCAATGAGGCTACATTAAACATTACAGTCAATACTGAGACGCAAGTACCATCAATTTGCTTACCCGAGTTAGCAGTGGTTCACCATTTTTTAGCCACCTGTATGTAGGCTTGGGCCTCCCATTTGCTTTACATTCCCAAAAGACATTTTCTTCCATGGCCACGTGGATATCATTTATTTTTTGAATCCAATTAGGTTGAGCTATAGCAATTCAAAAAGCAAAGAAAAAGCATACATTCAGTGTATGCTCAATCTATTTTTACCATATGCAATCAAAGGGCAAAAGTACATTTACAATAAAATTCCTTTTCCAGATGTTATGCAAATAACAAGGCTGGGTAAAAGTTTAAGGGGGTGCTATAACCCTACTCTGAGCACTCAGTTTTTGTGGTTCATACGGATAGTCTTTTAATCACTAAATGCAGAATAGATAAAGCTACCATTATTCATAGGGCAAAATTAACTGTACCTCTCCCCTCAAGTATCTATTACTCCTTTTTATCCTTTTAGTAGGGAAAATCTCCCACCACCACTCCACCACTTTTGGCTGGATTCGTGGATTTCCAGCTACCACTGCCTCTCCCAGATTCCTTTGCAGCTAGCGGTAACCATGTGACTAAGTTCATGCCAATTGTATGTGTGTGATAGTGGCGAGAGCAACTTTTAGGTTACTCAAAGACACTTGCTCTAGCCTCTCAGCCCTTCACACTGATTGGAAAACAGTGATAACTGAAACAGCCTTGGGCTCAGAGATGGAAGCTATGTAGGATAGAAATGCTGAACCTTGGATAGAAAAGCTCTGGACCTTGAATGACTTTGTGGAGCAAAGCAGCCACAAACCTACTGCCTATTTTTGGAGAGATTATGTGAGAGAGAAACAAACTTCTTATTGAAGCCACCGGATTTTGGGGTCTCCTTTATTAGAATAGCTTAGCTTGTCCCTAACTAGTACACTTCACTCCAACATGTTGTATAGCTAACTTTTGTGACTCCTTCCTCCTCTGAGA